TGAAATAATCATAATGTGATTTATATCCGTCTAAAATACTTAGAAAGTGCCTAAAGTTTCTAGGTATTGATTCTTCAGAATGAAATTCCGGGGATATGGGAAATGGAGAGTTACACAAGTCTTGGAGGCATCAAGGTAAATGGTCTTGTGGACAGAGGTTGGTAAGGCCGTCGCACATTCAGCATGTAATAATGCAAGCTGCAAAAAGCTATTCAGAGGTGCGTCTAACCTTCGGTATTTATAAGCTGTCCACTTCTTATCTAAGGAATGAGAAAATCTGTAGTGACATTAGAAAGGGTTAAACAATATTACATGGTCCATATATTATGTCCTTCAGATTTGGGACAGTAATTTAGGGGGAGGGGGGGAAACGAGAGAAATGTGTTCTAATTGTCCACTTGAGTTTCTGGCACCTTCCCTCAAAATACCTGGTACCAGCCACTGCCATAAATAGGATATGAACTTTAAATAGTTTACTGATCTGATCCTGTTGTTCAAGTCCTTTGCACCAGTGGCATTTCTTGGCTGGGAAAGTACTTGCCTAGTATCCTCTTTAAAAGATATGCTACGGTGAACAGATTCTTTCTTCCTGAAGCCCCTGCTCTGGAGGAGGAGGAATTCTGTAATTTGACGTACTAGACCTGGCTTGTCCACGAAAGACATCTACAAGTAAAACCGACCAAAACCAGGGAAAAGAAAAGAGATTGTAAGCCATGTATAGTAAGCAGTAGTTTCTAAAATGCCAGTGAGCTTGCCTATAGCAACTAAGGCTTTCCATATTTTAATGATATTTATGACAGAAAATGATTGTGAATCTCATTTTTCAGGGGAGCACTTCTGTTATCTTTCTTTTTAATATGATTTTGAATTGCTGAAAATTAACAAGTTTCAGGCTGTGCTGCTAGTATTAAAGGTAAAGAAATCCAGTCTTTGTGGAAATCTGCTGCCTGAGAAATCACCTTCTATGTTAAAATAAATAGTGCAAAATCTCAGTATTGTATTGCTTAGAAACAAGCTGACTGTATTTGAAATGATAGTTCCTTTTTCCCGATAATTCTATAATTGCTTACGTCAGTTGCTCCCATTAGTTTTTCATTATAAACTGAATGTAGCAATCTTGGGCACTTCAAAAGAGCAGGGCTCATTAAGACAACCACAAATGACAGCCAGTGAGGGAATATGCACAACGAGTATCTATATGCCGTAGGCAGGAAGGGCTCGGCTTGGCTTTTCCTTCTCTCTTTCTAAGATGGAGCTTCTGTGGAAGTTTGCATACTCCTGCAACCCGCCATTTTTACCTATTTTGGACACGTACCCCCATTTACTATTTCTGCCTCCTTTTTCATAAAGAACAGGTGGGGAGGCGGGGAGGGTTGGTCTTTCTGACTTTCAGGGGTTACTAAGTTACTGGCGTCCCAACAGTTATATTGTTGGTACTGGTTATTTTTCAAGTACTGTACCTGATTTTGTGCCAAATGTCTTGTGAACATGTAGTTAGCTTACAATATAATCAAGCAACATGCACGCGCCGGGGTTTTGGAAAATCACATAGACCTTGAAACCGAAAACAAAACCCTGCCATTGTAATTTGTTCAACTCTTATCCAACTTTCACCTGTTCTTAATGTCATTTAAAAATTATTCCTTTTTTTTTATTCTTGACTATCCGCCTCAGGACTTTGCTGCTCACTCAGTCTCTGTTCGGCTGCATCAGAAATCTAAATCTGCCAACAGCAAGGATGTTCGGCACGGTGGTGCTCAGGTGGAATTCGCCTGAAGCCACTGAAGTTGTAAGAAGTGACACTGAGTAAAATGAGCAGACTATTTGATAGTTATAGTGATCTGATCATATGCTAAGGACCCAAAAGCCACTGCCATATTCTTACATTTTGCTGTGCAGTCACTTTTGGTCAAATTCCTTATACTATTTTTTTTAGCCCAGCATTGCCAGATTTTAAATCCATAAAGGGATTGGGGCATCACAAGGGTGAGCACTGCAAAAGCTAGTTTGTAGGGACCCTGTTGTCTACTAGAGCCCAAGCCTGCCATGCTCTTTTCTATTAACTGTCAAGAGAGCTAAACACCTACAACTGGGATTGACAGAAGCAAGCAGACTGAGCAGGTGCTGCCTGACCTAGCCAATCTGAAATGCTGTGGGGAGGTGTGTAGATTAAGCTGTCCCTCTCGGGGATTTAGGTCCCCTAACTCTGGGCTGCACTGGGGTACCTCTCCCATGAAAATCCAGGGTGGTGCTTCTCGTGCTGCCCTGTTACTGGTTAGAGCGTCTTTGGAATGTGATGGCTCCTGGCTCAGATCTCCCTTTCCCTCCTTTGGAGCGGCTAAAGAGTCATGCTTACTTTCTGGCCTGCGGAACAGTTAATTATTTTATATTGAATGGAAGAACTTTAATATATGAGACAGAGACCCAGCCTAGACTAGCAAGTAGCCTAGCGGTCTGTGTGCTCTCTTGGTAGGCTGGAGACATTGGATAAGGTCCCTGCTCTAAACTGGGCAGAAAGGGAAGATGAACGGAATTGTTTTTGTGTCCCCTGTGAATGCTCCAACCGCTTGACTACTGGGCATAAGGGGGCTCCTTCTCGTGGCTGTCTTTCACGGCGATTAGGTGTATCCTGAGAGTGATCACTGGATTGTGTCCTGCTTAAAAAAGCGTCAGGGGAATGCCCGCTTTGTGAATTCCAAAGTGGCTTCAGTGCTGAATTGTTCAGCATCTCGGGATTTAGATTTTCACATGCACGCCCTCAGACTTGTAGATGCCTGGGAGTTTTCCAGGAAAAATGCTATGTGCTGAGCTAATTTAGGTGGCCTTGATGCTAAATGGCAACCAAGCAGACTTCTTGAGGCTCTGTAAATGTTGGACTTAGGCACAGGATCACAGGGAAATAGGGATGGAAGGGACCTCTTGGGGTACCCCTGTTCATCCCTACCGTGTGTCTGTCCGTCCAACCTGCTCTTGAAAATGTCCAGGGATGGTGATTCTCTAACTTCCCCAGGCAGCCTGCTCCAACGCGGGACCACCCTCAGTCAGAAATCTCCACCCGAAATTTCCTCTGCTACAGCTTGGGGCCACTGCTCCTGGTCCTGTCCCCTATGGCCACAGAGCAAAGCCCATCTCCGTGCTCGCTACTATCACCCTTTGGGTATTTACATCCCTCTTTGGATTTTGCCTTTAATATCAATGCAAATCAGTCTGTGAAGGCAGAGTGACCTTGTTTGTTTTACACGACCGATTCCCCCCCCCATTGCTGTGTGTGATCTGACCATCAGCGTTAGCCCAGATGTGTCCTGCAGCTGTGCCCACGCAGACGCGACCAGCCCGGTAACTTGACTTGTCCCGTAAGGTGCACGGCTGCTACCCAAAGCGTAATGGCAGTGCTTTTTCTGTGCTGCTTCTCAAATTAGTACAGTTCAGTGAGAACTTTTTGGATGTGTTTGATTTGTGCTTTGCTGGGAGAACAATGGTTGTGCATTTTTGGTTCATCTGCATGAAGTCTGTGAGTTTTCCTGTGTGTCTTCCGTCACTTCCCTGAATTCAGCTATATTGAGAGAGAGCTCTGCCGGCCAAATTTCATCTGGGGTTCGTTGCATTTCAGTTGAGCACAGTGCGTAGCAATGGGTCTGGACCCCTGAGGCGAGCAGGTGGGGCAGCGGGCCAGCCCTGCCGGGACCTGCCTGTGCCCCCGGGGCTCTGCGGGCCGCAAGGGCAGGCCACGTTGCCGGGGACTGCCGCGAGTCCAGACCGGGCCAGCCGAGGCTG